CTTTAACCATATTTATTTTGATGCCTCTGCTTCTAAAGATCATACCAATTGTTTGTTCCTTCGTCCCCTTCTTTGTGTCTCTTTCCCGCTCCCGGTGTCCTCCATTTCTTGTTTTATCATTTTGTTTCTCCATGCGTCACTGTTTTTCGTCACTGCTGATTTATTTTAAGAGGGCATTGTAATTTCAGTCTTAAATGCTGATTATTTTTCTAAGGCATCTGTGATGCAGCTGTATGAGTGTAAATTGCTCGTTGCAACTCTCATGACTGATGCTGAGGGTCATAATACTCTATTCCCGGCTGTCGTGCGAGACTTATGTGATCTTACGCGAGAGGCTGAAAGGTTTTCACCTGAGTTATGCTCTTGACGTGAACCAGTCATTAATTGTTGCTTACAAATTGCTAAGTTTTTTTTGCGTCATTCAAGGTCCATAATACTTGAGGATTAAGAAAGGTTTGAATCATGTTTAAATTTAGACTTCTGCTTTTCCTGCATTGATCAGATCTACTATAGCTGAATAGAACAGCTCCATCTTTTCTAAGGTTTTACTTAAGGTTTGGGAAGGTTGGTTACAGGAATGCATATGAGTTAAATACAAATTAAGCATCTGTAACATGCTGTTAATTACCACTGAAAAACATCAGCTCGTCTGCACAAGATGAAAGGACAAATGCAATATTTGATGAATGCATTGTGATAAACATAAGATTAAGGCATAAAATCAGTTTTAGTTGATTTTACGTAGATTTAAATCTAGAAGATGGCATTCAATATGCAGCTCTACTGTTCTTTAATAAGGTGTCACTGCTTAATCCTTCAACTGCTTAAAGTGCAAAAACAAATCTTTTACTTAAGTGACATTCTCTGAGTATTATCTGCCATTAATGGCAATCAAATGGAAACCTAAAAGGGTACGCTTAATTAACAATTTGGTGTGCAAATATAAAAGATAAACAAACTGAGTAGAAAATGAAGTTTTAACTCTACTTTCTTTTTTTCTGGTTATTTTTTCCCCCACATTATTGCTAACTTTTCTCAAAACATTAACAAATGAATTAGTGAGGCTCTTGTTTGGTTGAAGGGCTAATTCTAAAAAAATAAAAATGAAAATGTACTCTTCCTCAGTTTCCTGTAGAACACCAATGTCTTGAGAATGTCTTTATTCCATTTTTTTTATACAAAGGACTTTTGTTATATCAACAAACAGTTGAAATGTTCTTCATAATGTTTTGTCTTCTGAAAGTCATACAGGTTTGAATTGAGTAAATTGAAAAACATTTTTTTTTAGGTGAAATATCCCTTTAACAGGTTCATTTTGGACATCTGTGCCAAGCAGTGGCTGGCTTCCTGTTAAGCAGTCTTTGCTGAGGGTGTGATTGGTTGTTTTCTGATTGAGGAGCTCCTTTGAGGTCTCAGGACCCTTAGGCCTGATGGTGGCGAGAGCTCTTCACTCTCTCTCTGCTTCAGTCCATGGGCCATTTATCACCTGAAGATAATGAGATTGGCTAATGAGAAAAAG